TGGTTTCATAAGCAAAATTTTGAGTTATTAAAGATTTTTTAAAAAATTAAAGGATTGTTTTGATTTTTTATATTATACCTGATCTTGATATTACATCGCAGATTAACAATTTTATTGGTTAAAATTACTATAGTGTTGAATACCACTGGTGCATTTTAGTAAACTTGTTTTTATTTTTAATATAAATTATTAGTTTTATTTATAACAATTCAAAAACTTAATTATTAAATTATAAAACCCAAACTTTTTAATATTTCTAATTAAATAATAAAATTAATATTTTAAAAATTAAAAAATTTTTTTTAATTCTAAATATTTTAAAATTTACTTGACTAATTGTCCAGAGCATAGCAGAAAACTTTATATGTTTAGGTAAAGTGATACAAAAGTTATATTTTAGATACATCAATAATTGTAATATCAAAATTGTAACTTCTGTATTTGGTGTCTGTCTGTATTCATATAATAGTTATATTCTTGATAAATTAATTGTTTTAATTTGTGCCGAGTCAAAAAAAAGTTAGCAAGTTTATATTATTGTGCTCCGAACACACAATGCTGCACATTAACCTAGTTTTAATAATTTAAGTACTATTAGAACTAAAAAAACTTTTTTATAACTAATTAAAAACTCAACAAATCTTAACTTATTAATAAAACCTTTATTTTTTTTAATTTTACCTTTTTCTATATCTTGAAGGTCTTTAGACATCTTTGGATCTCTCATATCTTTTAAAGACCAGAGTTTTTATTTTTGCAGAGATTACTAGTATAGTGATTTGGTTTCTATATACAGTGCTTGACAAAAGTTTTCCTACCCATAACTTGGCACAAAGATATGGTAGGGAAAAAATATTATTTTATTTAAAAATACATTAAAATACATGAAAATTAATGCATAGTATAATTGCCCTCAGATTCAATTAGGGCCTCCACATGATACCTCATGCTTCTTACCAAATTAGTCACATACTTCTTAGGCAATTAATTCTATTCTTTTGTTATTTGTGCCTTCAGAATACTAAGCTTTCTAATTTTTTTTTGCCAGATTCATTTTCATAAGTTCTCAGACATTCTCAATCGGATTTTGGTTAGATGATATCGACAGCCAGGGAAGAACTTTGATATCATTTTCCTTCTTCTATACTTTCACGATTTTCAAACAGTGCTTCAGATCATTGTCCTCTTGCAGAATCCAACTATTACAACTTTTGCCAAAAAGGTCTATAGCAGAAGGTAAAAGGGCCGTTTCATACAGGGTGATTATATATTGCATATTAAGATTACATATAAAGCAGACTAACCTTCCAAAGCTCGAAGAAGAAAACACTCCTATATGTAAACCTTCAACAGATCCTTGATGGAACGGGTTATTTTCCTTGCTCTGATGAACTGTTAAGCCTTTTTTAACTGTTAATTCAAGCAGAATATATTTTCATCAGTAAATATCATGGTATTCTAATCAAAATCCTTATGTTTCTTCACCCACGAGAGCTATTTTTCTGATGCTTCTCTCCGAGCAAAGCTTCACAAGTTTTCTATAATAGCGAGCCCTATCTTCACCAAGACACCATTAAATGGTATACATGTAAATGTCTACATTTTGTTTAAGAAGCTCACAGTAGATTTTTGGCACTGAAATATCTACTTTCTCTTTTGCCAGCTTCAAAATCTGGTTGTCTTGTCTTTGGGTGGTGATTCTTTGACGACCCGACCTTGGTTTGTCACTTAAGTCTTTGCTTTCTTGCCATCTTTTTAACTATTCTCGTGCTGTTTTTCTATCATAGTGAACCTGCTTCGCTGTTTCATACAATAAGAGCTTGTGGCTAGTTAAAAAGACAATTTCATATCGCTTATGCAAAGGAAGGGTATTTTTTCGATTGAAACTTGGCATATAAGCAGTGTGGGTATTTTTACTATATACAGTGCCCGAAGAAGTTTAGTATGATCTGCATACACGATGTTCCTTGCCTGTATGAAATTTCAAGCTTCTACGCTTGAATTTTCAGAAATTACAGGTACAGGGAAACTTTTGTTAAGCACTGTATCACCGTACTGATAAGATAACTCATACTTTATTAAGTATATCATATAACATCCCATATCTCTGATATCACGGTATAGGATCTATGTTTTCTAGATCTGCAGTTCTTTAACTTCACATAATCCACAAGCTAAATTGTCTTTTATATCTGATATTCTTGATTCTAATAATCTTTAAACTAAATTACTCAATATTAATATCGTATGTTAATGGATTGTGTTTTATCTAATTATTCTCAGCTTATACTGTAACTATGCCAGTAAACTGCAACTTGTACAAATTTTATTCTTTATTTTTGATAGAAAATTCTCTAAAGATTTTATCCAATCATAATCTTGATAGAACTATTCATTATTTAGTTGAACTTGCAATTTTGCGATTGTGAACCAGGGGTGCTAACCACTATGCTATCAACCCATAGATCAAAATGTTTAATTTTAAAAAATTACTTTTATAAATTTGATCAACTAAAAATAAAACTTTATAATGTATAACCATTAATATTGGCAAATAGAACAATAAAATGAAAGCTTAATTTTTTGTCTTTATATATAAAAATTTTTTTTATTAATAATTTGCAATTATTTAAACATATATTGTTAGAGCATTAGTAAGTAATAAATTTAAAATATTTTTATATTTAATTAAAAAAATAAAAAAAAATAAATAAAATTATAAGCCAATAGAAAACATATATAAACGTGACAACCCTGATAACCAAAGGCTTTTTATAAATTCTGATCTACTCCGACTCCCCGACTCTGCTAAATTTTGATTGCGTAACTAATCCGCTTGACTAATCCGCTTGACAAGAACGTTCGTAGACGCGCACATTTTTTTTTAATATCGCGAATTACTAAAGACCAGTTATGTTCGTTTATTATCAATTCTACCCCTAAATCTGACCTCTAACCTAAAAAAATGCATCAAATATTTGTATCTATGGCTCATCTATTCTAGACTACAAATTTTCATTTCATTTTAGTCACAATTAACATTAAACCTTTTTGGCAATATATTGGTTGCATTTAAAATGTTGGCTAACGTTAGAAAATATATAAATACAAAACGAATGCATAAATATATTTAATCCCATGTGGCAAACAAAACTATTAACAATGTTTGGCAAAGCAATTATTAAAAAATCATCACGACAAAAGATTCAAATAACCAAAAGCATAGTAACATTAATTAATTGCATAAACAATTTAAGGTTTTAACATCTCCAATTCTTTACGTAACGTAGCCTCAGTTGCGATTTTTTGCATCTGTTTTTCACAATGCGTAAAATTAGATATTGAATTAACGACGAATAAATACTATTTTATTATACACGTACCTACCACAAATTGCCGGACTGATCCTTTTTTTATTAGCAAAGTATATAAAGGAAGTTTTTAATTCCATTAATATTTAAATTAATTACGCTTCTTAAATTTTTAGGGCATAAATTTCCGATTTATTAACTAGTGAGAGATATAAAAAATTATTTTTAAGAAGCGTGATTAATTAAGTTAATAGTATGGTGCGAATCATCTAGTCGCATCAAATCTGCGCCACTTAAATAATTTAAGGAGTTATCGTTATAATTTAAATGTGACGACCGAATCCAGACGATCAAATAGCACCTTGCTAAATATTAGTCTTCGAAAATTCTGTTATATATATATTTTTTTTTAAAATTGTATCTCCTCGATGATTAAAAGGAAAACGCATTACTTTATAGGTCTTAACCGGGAATACAAGGAAATGCAATCCTTTTACAAAATTCTAGATATTCATCGAGAGTTACAATTTTGGATGTCTTTGGATGAGTTGCACCATAGAATTAATATATTTTCATTAAAACAAACTAATTTTCTCTTTTTATATACTTCACTAATAATAATAATTATAATAATAATAATAATAAAAAGGATCAACTCGGTAATTTATTGCAGACGAATGTACATACCTGTGTCAGCTCTAATTTGTCACCCTTCTGTTGCCTTTCTTTAAGTTCAGCAATTTGTCTTAACTTTTTCGTTAAATTTCGAATCTTTTTGTCTGTCTCTGACAATAAGCTTCCGCCCTGAGATGTTCCATTTGTCGATAGAGCTGATGCTATTGGTTCTTTAGCTGAATCAGTAACATCAACAGTATCTATTATATCATTATCAATGACCTGTTGAGTCGGCGCTGGCGATTGAGGCAACGATGATACTGCATCTAGATAATTGAAGGTATTGTCAATTTTTCTAATTAAAAGGTAATTTGCATATCAGAAAATATAATCAATATGTACTACTCTTTTCAGAGGTAATATTTGCTTCTTCCTTTTTTTTCTTTGCCGCTTCGCGCTTCTTTTTGTTTTTAACAGCAGCTTTTGTAGTTACTAAAAAAAAAAAAAAAAACAAAAAAACTAATAATTAACCACATGGTTTAATGCATGCGTAATATTGATTATCTTAAATACCTTCAGATGCCCCTACTATCATAGGTTTATTTCCATGATCTTGCATATTTATTCGTTTAGTTGCTTCATCCTCGCGCTATCAGAATTATCCAATGCACTTATTAATAAAAGATCACCAAATTCAATTTTAAAAAATATAGAAGTCACCTTAAACATATCTGGTGTTGCAGTACCACGTGCGTGTGGAGGTCGATAAGCACCTACTTTCTTGGCTGCTTAAAATGTTAGGTGACAAAGTTAATTTTCTGTTTTAAAACTATCAAGGTTGTAAAATTTTGGTAATTATAGATTTGCTGGGAAATTACCGGTAAATTACCAGTAATTTTACAACCCAGAAAATTGTCCTTTTACGTAATAAATAAAACGATGGATTACGTGAAGGTTTCGCAGCCAATACACCAGAATCCTCTGAAACTTTAGGTGGTGGTGATAAAGTACGCATTGGATATTGTTCTACGCTAGCTGGCCTCCATTGAATCTATCACAGTAATAACATGATCGTAAGTTTATGGTTTAAAGAATTTATATCACTTTATATTTATAACCCTCTACGCGTAACCCATTTACTTTAGGCAACTATTAAGATTTTAAATAAGTTCACCCGTTTGAAAACCGCCAAGTACTATAAGTGCGATAAAGTATCGACTATCTTCAAAGGTGACGGATGTTTATGAGAATATAAACGTGATCGTCCACTATCTAAATTAACTTTCGAACCTGTAATAATTCCTGAATACTCTCATCATGCACTAGTACACCGGTATAATGCCAAATCTTATAACCATTATCAACTCGTAGCCGAGGACTTAGAGTCGCAGTCATTATGTAACGTCCATCAGGTGACCAAAAACATTCAGATGAATTAGGAGCTTCTATGGTTGTTAATTTTTTCAGATTCTCACGATCCCAAATATCTATTGTTCCAGCAAGATTCCCGAAACCTGCTATTAATATCAGTAAATTATTATCGAATTCTAATGTTAAGAATTTAACATTTTAAACTCAGGCGAATGAATCAGATATTAACATGTTAATTAAGCAAAGGATATGTCTTCCTTGAGGATTGAATCTTATAGTGTTACGAGGACTAATTCCGAATTCATGTATGGGATTTGCACGATGATCGAATAATGTTGCCTTGGCAGGCATATCTGTATCAAAAATTAAAAAGATTTACATAATGAAGTATCAAAAATATAAGTCAAATTAGCAAATTGAAATTATAAAAAGAGCTTACATCCATAAACCACTATAAACTCTTTAGAGTTTGGACTCCAAGCGACGTCATGTATTGGACCATCCTTTTCTAAGATATAATAAGTATGAAAATAATAAATATAGCCAGTACGAAAAAGAAAAATATATCAAATACTTACTAAGTTGGACACAACAATCATAATTTCCAGCAACGGATAGAAAATATAAGTTGGTCTCTGTTTCAAGTTCAAACTAGTTCTTAGCACGCGCAATGTTGAGTTACCACCACTAATCAATAAACTTTCGTTAGGTGTTAAGAGATTGTCAATTACCTCCGTAATAAGATTTATTTGTTTTATCCACTTCAGTTTGTGTTAGAACTAGTAAGTTTGTACCGAGATCGTTCCAATTCATTCGAACTTTATCGGCTTTGAAAAAAGTTTTTTGTGCCAATGGAGAATTAAAGTTGGATATCGAATAAATACGAACAGATGCAGGAGCACTCTACAATACAGTATTTATATAGTGAAACAATTTAGAATAACTCTTGTTGACATATATGATGTAAGAAAAAAAAAAATCGACATACATTTTTTTCTGGAATAAATACAGCTATGAAAGGATTTTTTCCAGGGGACAGAGAAAAATCAATGATGTTTTCTAACCGTAACTTGTTATGAATCCCTTTATCAATACGTTTGCTATCGTAGAAATGAACTTCACCAGTCACCATACGACTAAAAAACGATTCATCTTCAGTCCATTGAACATTCCTAGCAGTAATAATTAAATATTAAAAATGAATGGATTAATAAGTGTATATTTTCAAATCAACCAATTTTATTACCAATTCGCCGAACTCTTTTGTGTAAATTGAATCAACGTTTGCGCGGTTGCCGTTTCCCATACAATTAAATTCTTGTGTACCAAATTGTCAGGTAGCTTAACTAATTATAAATGACGTAAATAAATATTTAATACACCCTTTTGTATAAATTTGATAAATGATGTTACCTGGTCTTTCCCAAGTAGAGATGTATGTCCCCTTCGGGGAAAACCCGATTTCAACAATATTTTTTTTTTCAATTTCGCTAAGAGGCTCTGCAATTTCAGCGTTTATGATCTTTACACTACATGGACCGATCCAATAAATTAAAATGTTTTTTATAATTTGGACAAATAGATGATCAAATCATTGTAGCAAGAAATACCTTTCTGGTGACGCCAAACTAAGATATCCACCATCCTTGCTGTACTGAAAGGTCTTAATACTACCACTAGGAACGATAAACAAGTTATTAATACTAATTAAAAAAAATAATAATAATAAAATATTGGATGTATAAATAATATATGACTACTTACTCTTGGAAATTTTTAATGGTTTCATAGGTAGGATGTCCCAAAACTAGGCTTAGGTTGTTAAAAGATCGATCTATAAGTAAAATAGACCATTGATTATTAGACTTGAAACGAAAAGCCAATATGATATAATTGAATTATTTAATAATACGCATACATGTGAGCTGTGTAGGTGAAACAGTTGCCATGGTTTGAGACTTATAAGTAAAAAGCTAGTAAAAGCAAGAGAATTTTTTTTTTTTAAAAAAAAAAAAAAAAAAAAATTTAATCGTTATCGTTATTACTGTATTAGGTGTCAAATCTTTCTCAAGCCAATCAGATTGCACAATTCAAACAAAAAATTTCCGGAATTATCTAACATTAGGATTTATTAGATTTATTAGAATTAGGGCTGCCATGTATAATTGTGTCCCCGACATTTTTTAGATGGGTTTGGACTGTCGTTGTCTGTATTTTTCGTATTTTTCAATATTTTTTTTTATCCTGAATGAAATTTTGTATTGCAACCTGCTGTTCAAACCCTCAAAATTTCAACATTCCTTGCAACATATAACTAGACCTCTGAACTCATACGGGAGGATCCCCAAAATTCCGGGTCGGAATACGTTGGAATCCTTTCGGCTGGGTTAATTTTGTCCAAGATCACTAAAGATTTTACCAATAAAGTCATGGCTAGTGATGCAAAACGGCTCGATCGCCTGTATATTCAGTATAAAAATAACTGAGTAATCAATAGAGTCGATCAGCCGATTTGCATCTCTAGTCATGGAAGTAAAAATGCCAGCTGATAATTTTGGAGATCGCCCTGTAAAAAATTATTTATATTCACCTTAAAATATTGAGAATGTAATAAAACTAATTCGGCAGATTTGTAGGATTTTAAATTTCTTTATGAACAAGTGATAACCATTTTTCATACGAAATTTGCACCCATCTTAATTTTTTATCTTATGATTAGGTGATTATCGCATGTCGCTTCGATATCCTTAATGCGTCTCGGTTAATTATTTTTATCTACGTTATCTAATAACTAATAAGAGCTTCTTCACAAGTCTAGTTCTAACGGGCAGGTATCGTAAAAAAGGTGTTCCATATCAGATATCCTAACCGTAAGTTTGAAATCATAATTCTGATTTTTGTGAATAGACTACATGTGACGAACTCACTGTTCTTTAAATAAAGTGTATGCTTCCAGGGAAGAGGTGCAAAAGGATCGAAGCAAATTAATTTTCAATTGTTATCAAAGGCTCATCAAAGTTAATATTTAGCATGTGTCTTTTATTCGCACCCAGAAAATGTGTACCAGGTTGGGATCGGATGATCATTTGGAAAGGTAGGTCGGAATGTTAAGAACATTCGGAACTAGAAACCAAAATTACGTATTTGCATACATATTTACGTAAAAAGTTGATCGATATTGTCATTAGCGTTAGCTTAGTATGATATTTTTTGTTTGTCTTTTCTTTCTGAAGAAAAAGAGATGCAAAACATGTTACAGACACGTTTTTAATGTTATGAACAAGCTATTATTTAATTACAAGAAACCATCAAATTGAAATCTGAATATATCGAACCTATCAGGGTTGGGCAATCGGACAAGTGGGTTGTCCGATGAAATTTAAATTTCTAAAATTGTCTGTAATTCTTTTTGAAACAAGAAACCTCCGTTTAGAGTCAAGCAAACCAAATAATTAGGACAGTAATATACTGCCAATTTTTACTCTATATGTGTTAATAGATCAAGAGTACCCTTATGTCAAGAAATCTCGAGCTGCAGATCACTGCAGATCACATCCGGTCCGTCTCCGGGGTCTGTCTCCGGGTCAAATTGTGATTAGAACCGTTAGTAAATTGACATTCTACATAAATCAAATAAACATTATACTAATGTTCATACTAACGTTTGTACTAACATTTATACTAACATTTATACTAACATTTGTACTAACATTTGTACTAACATTTGTACTAATGTTTGTACTAACATTTATACTAATTTTTGTACTAACATTTGTACTAATGTTTGTACTAATATTTGTACTTATGTTCATACTAATGTTTGTATTTACATTTGTACTAACATTCATACTTATATTCATACTAATGTATATACTTATGTTTGTACTAACATTTATACTTATGTTTGTACTAATGTTTATACTTATATTTGTATTAATATTTGTACTAATATTTGTATTAATATTTATATTTATTCATATTAATATTTATATTAATGTTTGTACTTATGTTCATACTAATATTTGTACTAAAAGTTAAAATTTTTTTGAAAAAAAATCATAAAATAAATAAGAATATTGTAGCCAGGAAAGATATTGTGGCCAAGTGATATATTTTATGATCTACTATTGATCACTACTTATAGTATCCAAAGTTATAAGTTCAAATTTAACATATTTTATATCTATTTTACATCTATTCTGTATAATAATATACAAGATATCTTATACATGTCTGTAAACTAACTACATATATTTTACATATATCTTACTAATTTAAGTATTTGTATAAGATTTATATACTATATATACTATATATGTAAAATATTCTATATCATTTATATTCATCTGCTATTCAATTTGTATAGTTTAAATATAAAATATATCAAATTTTAACTTGTAGATCTTATTCAAGAACATTATTTTTAAAATTGAATAGTATCAGGTATTATTCATGAATTTAGTAATCTTATTAGTAGAGAAGGAGATATTTTATGTGGTAGAATACTATTTTTGGAAAATACTATAAGCAGTAACAAACGGTAATGATCCAAATTAAATAAATTTTATATTATTTGATTTGTCTTATTAAGATAAATTAAATAATATAAAATTTATTTAATTCTGATCACTAAATCATAAGATATTATATATCATTTATACAAAATATAATTTTTTTTGCTTTAGTGATCCTTTCTTTATTATTTAAATTAGTATAAAATATAACAAATATACAATTATATAAATAGTAGTTAATCTATATTATAAATTATATATATCTGTACTAATAAAGAATTACTTAATCATTAAAACAAAAGTTTAAAATAGATTTTGTAAAAAAAACCAGATATAACTTATCCAAGTGACCTTTTATCTTATTTGAAATCCTTAATTTACTAAAGATTTAAACCCCAAGAGTTTATAGTAGATAGTTACTAATCTTGTTTTTTTTTTTTTTTAAATATTAAGGTAACTACTTTGAAGTCTAGTATGGTTTATTAACTTCTCAATTCAATTATCAAGATACCGAATAGATATCTCTTGACTTTGTTATATCAATGAGAGTACAATTGGTTAACTTTAGTCATTGTCTAATTAAGGATTCTGCTATATCTATTTTTATCTATAGTTATCTACCAATTGCTATATCTAGGATCCGCTTGTGGATCCCTTATTTAAACTCTCTGATCAATTTAGTACTGTCAGATGCTTTTTCCGAAAGAATTCTTGCCACTAAGGCCCTTTAGAATTACTTTATCTTCATGGTAAATCTACTAGAGCGGTCCATATTCCACATATGTATCACCTAGATTTTCAGAAACATACGCCTCAATCTAAGAACTAGAATTTGTGATCTTTTGCACTGCTATTGTAACCTACTCCTTGCCCTTTACAAGATTTGTTCTGATCCTGATATCTACTTCTAACTGGTCTTTATCTCTTAAACCGTAATGCAGGCAAATTTGCCTGCTAAAATTTTTTTTGTTGTTGTTTTTTATAATTACTTAAA